TAAATCCAAATGCCTTGGAGTAATTGTCAGAAAATGAGATCAATCGCAATAACTTCCGAAGACTTTTGTTTTCAAATAAGCATCTGGTGCAATGTAATTTGGAAGTTTGAGAGTGACCAGCTTTCCTAAACTAACAATATAAAAGATGAAAATAAGATGCAACTTAGTCAACTCATAAATAGGGACTCAAAATGACAATTCTAATCAAAAGAGTAAAAAATAGAATAAAGTTAGGAAACGGGATTAACGCAAGGATCAAAGGTGAGTGTATGAAGTGTGAACTTAAATACAGCTGGAGTAGCCATTTATGCTCTAGGCAGGCGAAAGGATTTGTGAATGTTAAAGTTCGGTTTTCCTGAGCCGACCAACTAAACCTGAACCCTCACCAAAGGCGAAAGTTGCTCCCCACAGGCTGATCCCAATTCGGAAGTCTGACCGTTAACTGTTTGTGCAGTCAGTTCGGCCATTAAAACTCGCGCGTCTGTGTGTATCGCTTCGACACGGCCAGCCAACAGAGCGGCTTCACTCGGTGTCAATCCGGTGGCACGACCCGCCGTGGCCCCGTGGCTCCCAGCTCCGGCAAGATATGCAGCCTGCTGACTCGCTTGGACCATAGCTGTAATCGAGTCGGCCACCGCCTTCACGGCGTTCGACAGGCTGACCGAAAGCGCTGGGGTCCTGACGGGCTCTTCGGTACGAAGCGCCGAGACCAATACGGGTAGGGCATCGATGTGAGTGAAAAGACCCTGAGAACAAAGTGGAGTATACAGGTCAAATTAAGATTATCACATAACTGTAAACAACACATACAACTGTGCAAATGATGCTGAACTTGGGGAAAATCAGAAGCTACAGGATGTGCTGACTGATAAGATTGGAGTAGCTTATTAATCTTGATAGAGGAGCATATTTAGCCAGTAATTTATACGTGTACATATTAGGACAAAGATCTAGGAAACAAGTAACCCTACAAAAAAGCGAAATATTAACAAAAAATTGAAGGCTTTCGCTTTCCTTCTAACTGAATTATTATAAAGACACAATTATCTTAATGTGGCCTCAGAAGTTATTGGACTGTAAATAAATTTCTAAGACAATCGGAACATATGTAATATCCTGCCAAGACGAAATGGAAATAGTGAAAAACAGCTGTCCAGATGGTATTATACGA